AGCAGTGCAGTGGTTCCTTATGGCTCTCAAATTTCACACTATCCTGAATCAGAGGTTTTCCTTAAAAAAGATGCTATTAAGTTTTTGAAGGGAAAACTTTCAAACAATCTGGACATTATTTAATAATTTGAATTCCCCTAGGTATTAATCTGAACTTGTATTTTTATTCATTTGCTCTTCTAGAATGATGTGGGTACTATAATGGATATTTTGAAGGAGCACATTGTAACTCTGGAGAAAAATCAGCTCTCTGCTCATCAATCTGAGCTAACAACATTTTTCACAAAGGCTTTGGACTTCAGAGCTGAACACTCTCAGGTGAAGTATATGAAATCTTTTGGGAGTGGCACAAATGTATTCCTCTTCAAGTGATGTTTCCCTTTGAATTAAAATCTTTATGGGGGAGTTTAAAAAGTTCAGTTCTGGGCAGAATTGTGCCCACAATCCTATAAACACTGCTACAAATATTTTGATAACGCCTGCTTTATTCTAGGACAATATAGAGAAGGTTGGCAAAATAGAATCTCGAATTATTACATGCTTAATCAGCATGATTATGAAGCTTTCTGAAATGTCTTTCCGACCCCTGTTTTTCAAGGTAGGCATTTGAACACACTTCTATCTCAGTAGGTTTTTTGTTTGTGTTTTGATATAAAAAAAACCCACCCCTGTTCTCTCTTTCTTTCAGCTCTTTGATTGGGCCAAAACTGAAGGTGCCTCAAAGGATAGACAGTTAACTTTCTACCGACTGGCAGACTGTATTGCTGGTGAGCTAAAAGGGCTGTTCAGCCTATTTGCTGGCCATTTAGTGAAACCTTTTGCTGACAATCTGAACCAGATTAATACATCAAAAACAGGTAAAAATTCTAATTTAAAAAATAAATGCAAGCAAAAAAATATTTTAATAAGATATGTTATATAATGCACTAATAACGTGATAATGCATATTTATCATTTTTCTTCTTAGCTTATTTTCAGTTTTTTAGACATGCAAGGCTAGTCTGGATCAACTCAGAATCTAATTTCTGGTAGTTCACCTTCAAGAAAATAAATCATAGGGATCATTCACATTAAACTAAGTTTGCTTAACTTTATCACAGCCTGTGTCATGTCTCCACTGAGGGAGGATAAGAGTTAGAATCTTGCGTTTCATTTTATTTGCATTATTTCTATAAAATAATAAACCAGTAATAATGAGAATAATTACCGTATTAAGGTAAAGAAAACCCACACTTAAAATTAATAGTTAATAAACATATGTGATCAAGATCTTATGACATGGCGAGAAAATGGTATTACTGTACATTTTTGATGAATGAACTCTGCTGAAATGATGGCTTATGTTTTCAGTTCTTGGGTAGATTTCGTATGTAGCCAAATAACAGGACTTTCAGCAATGACTTGTCCTCCCAGTACCATTAAGTTGATAAGGTATAAGCTACATCATCATTTCCCAATTGCTTAAGTACTTCTGAGGAGTTTGAAAAGTTTCAAAGGGATGCTTCAGGGAAGCAATTCAACTACCCAGAAAAAAACATCTCCACATGCAGAACTAAGATATCAGGGTGCCGCCATCTTGGGGAACATAATTATGGATGGAACAAAACCCATCTCTTCCTGGGCATTCTGCAATCTGCCAAGCTTTTAGGATGTCCACTCATGCTTTAGTCCATCTCTGCACTTCAGTATTTAAAAAAAATATTTTTCAACTACAGTTGGGAGAAACATGATCTGGATAACATTCAGCTATCAACTTTTTTTAACCTGCTGTATCACATAGATTTTATAAGTTTTTTGTTATCCTAACATGTTGTTTCTCAACCATGGCAATTTTCAGTTGTGTGGCCTTCAACTCAGAATTCCCCAGCCAACAAGCTTGGGGAATTGAAGTCCACACATCTGAAAGTTGCCAACGTTGAAAAACACTGTCCTAATAATATCTGAATCTTAATATTCTATTTAAAAACAGCTTTAATTATAAACATGCTATTAATGAAATTTTCTCTTTGCTAGTATTATACAGAGATTACAAAATGTGTGTTGGCTAAGTATAAACGCCTTATCCTGTACCTTTTGCTGTTTATTTCAGATGCAGATGAAGCTTACTTTGAATCTGAGGGCGACACTGAAAAAAGTTGCTTATTACTACAATATAGCCTTGATTGCTTGTACAAAATCTTCCTTTTTGATTCTTATCATTTTGTGAGCAAAGAGAGGGCAGAAACATTGATGCTGCCGTTAGTCAATCAGGTTAGAGAACAGTGACATTTTAATTAGATTATTATGTAATAATAATGATGATGATGATGATGATGATGATGATGATGATGATGATGATGATGATGATGTTGGAAGGGACCTTGGAGGTATCTAGTCCAACCCCCTGCTCAGGCAGGAAACCCTATACCATTTCAGACAAATGGCTGTCCAGTCTCTTCTTAAAAACTTGCAGAGTTGGAGCATTCACTGCTTCTATAATAGGTTTCCACTGTGCTGTGTCATTCTTGGACCATTTTTACAGATATGCTTTGTTCGTTTGGGCTAGGTTCCTTTTTCAGCTTCTCTTATTGTCAAATTATCATACTTGGTTTAGAACATGAGTTGAGTGATGTGCTATTGATAAAGGAACAATCTACCAAATACACTCTTGTACAACCAGTGGTTAAATGCAATCAGGGTTCTTATGGATTCCCCAAAAAAGAGGTATTAAAATATATATAAAGAATCAAAGGAATCAAACAATAGATAAGAAAAATAAAGGAATCTGTTCTAATTCTAAAAGCTCTAGCATAACATTGTTTTAAGTAACAACAAAGAATTTGGTCAGGCTAAATAGCCCAACATTGGTTGAAATGAATTTTTTTCCATTTTTCTCTCAGCATGGAACTGATTTTACTTTTTTTTCTTTGTAGCTGGAAAACATGCTTGGAGGAGAAGAGAAATTCCAGGAGAGAGTGACTGTGCATTTGATTCCGTGTATAGCACAGTTTGCAGTTGCAATGGCAGATGACTCTCTGTGGAAGCCCCTGAACTATCAGATTTTGCTAAAGATGAGGCATGCATCACCCAAGGTTAGTGGCAGATGTGTCAAGTTCTGCTCAAGCCAATCAAGGTGGCAAGTACTCTGTGTATTTTCCTTTCTTTGGAAAAGAAAATAATACGGCTTAATTCATGTTGGGAGGTCATTATTTTAAAAATGGGGATGTTGTGATTGTGCCCAGATGTTGTGGAGGAGTTAGCCAGCATTGGGCCATTCTGGCTGTGCTAATACTTTTGAATGCCCTGGTTACACTTATTTTTTGTTTAGGTTCGATTTGCAGCTTTGTTGGCTTTGTTAGAGCTTGCCGAAAAAATAAGGGAAAATTATATGGTGCTACTACCAGAATCCATTCCTTTCTTAGCTGAGCTTATGGAAGGTAATGTATTGCATGTTGTTCTTGCATCAGATTACTTTTTTTCCATAAAACTACTTTTAATAAAGCATGGCTGTCCTGCCATTCCACCTTAGGGACAAATTATCCTGTCTCTGTGGAAAACTGCAGGCTACATAGCACCGCACACTAAACTATATTCTCAGGTTCTATGAGCACTTCTAGCCTTGGGTCTAAGATAGTCGAGAACGGATTCATTAGAGGATATATATTTTTCTCACAAGGAAAACTTTCTATGGCGGGTTTTCAGCATGAATATACAGAATGTATCAAACTCCAAGTCAATCACAGTACATTTTATTTCCAAGAAAATATGACAGTATTTAAGAATGTTCAAAGGACGTGTCTCAAACAAGTAAAGAAATGTTTAGAAGAAAACTGAATTAATTCAAGCATTAAATATAATTTATATAATAGTCTATAGAGCCTATGTTTTGATATACCCTGTTTGGGTGTATGTGTACACATGCATGCGCGCGCACACACACACACACACACACACACTGTGTCTATACTGAGTTGGTTCAATATTAAATTAGCGAGCCTCTAAAATTAAAATTGATAATTAAGCACTGATTGAACCCCAGGTATTTATAATGTTGTTTTCTGCAACCTGAGAAAGTTGATTCCTTCCTTGGGCAGAGCTAACATCTAAATTATTAGTTCTAGAAAAACCTTGAGCTTATATGCCTTGCAATATGGTGCTGGTCATTGCTTTTCTAAGAACACCTTTGGAACTTACTGGGAACATTTTCTTAGAGTTTCCCAATCTTTCCAAAGTTTAATTTTAAGATTAATATATGATAGCAGTGATATATACATTTTAAGACATCTATTTGAAAAGGTATAAGTTTCCTCCCCATGAATGGAAAGGTGCATTCGCAAATAATAATATCCAAACAATTGAAAACCAGCTAAAAAATCTCTAGAAGGCATGAAAATGGAGGGTAGGAGAGAAAAGATGCAGCATGAGAGAACCCTAAATTGTTTATTTCTTTTTGCCTCCTTGGCAGATGAATGTGAAGAAGTGGAGCATCAGTGCCAAAAAACCATTCAGCAGCTTGAAGTTATTCTTGGGGAACCACTCCAGAGCTACTTTTAATCCTATCCCACCAACTCTTCTGGTTTTAGAGGTTAAGACTTGCAAGGACCAAGAGAACACAACCTTTTTCTAATTCTTTGTTTCATGTATACTTTCACAAATATATTTGACCATTTTGCTCAATATTTATGTTAAAAGGACTATTTAGATTTTAATTAAAAAGGAACAAATTTTCAAGTGTAACTTCTCTACATTTACTTTTTCTTACGCAGTTTTTAAAAGGTTGCATTACATTCACTATACTGAATTAAGTTTAATTTCTTATCACTTTTCTGGGCCACATTGAAAAACTTCACATCTACTGTATACGTTAATTTAGAACTGAGGGAACAAATTCAACCCTTTTATTTCCCCATCTAGAAACTCATACTGTCCTAGTTGAAGAACTGATTTCATCTCGGCCATCGGTTCTTCCTGTTCATACCAAAACGTTTTAAGGAGACAATTAGAGTTTAATAAATTCCACATTGCTTTGCACTTTCAGAATTTTAATTATAGATTGGAAAACCATACATTCTCCATAAAGCTCAGCAGAAAATTATAATTGATTCTGAACATATCGGAACTGTTTACAGATATTTTTGATAACATAGATTTTTAAAAAAATGCTAGGCAGTAGATTGAGATACAAAAACAGCTGCCTAGATAAACAGTCATAATGGAAACGTGTTATATATTACCCAGAAATGCATGGAAGCCTACTAATTTTACTGAACACTGATGAGGCAATTCTTACTAAGTTTAATGGAGGTTTTTTCCAGTTATATATGTACTGGTTTGCAATTTAATACTGGTGCTTGTAACAGTATTTTCCAGCTGTAACATCAGAATATACTTCAAGGATAATCGTATTAATCATTAATTTCATAAGCTTTATAAAAATCTAATCGGTGTGTGCCTTGAGAATCAAGTCTTTCACTATGAACACTAGAACGTTGTAAAAGCACATAGTGTCCTTCAAATATGTCATTTACATAGGCACAATCTCCGTAGTTAGTAAACTATAAATTGTTAGACCATTTTATGGTTAGTTATTAGATACAGTACTTTAGTTAATTTAAGTGATCACACAGATTTCTGCAATCTTCTTCCTTTGTTGGTTACATCAAGATGATTCTCTGCAAGCTATTGACAAAACACAGGAACTGCACAACTACCAACATTTTGCATCTAGGAGTTGAACATCCCCGAAGACTTCCAATATACAGATCTTGTCAAGCTGCTTAAATCTATGTTTGTACTCTAGGATATGGATGCCGTTGACAGCAACATTATATTGATGATCTTTGCAGAAAATTATCAGCTGAAATTCAGAAGGATAATATCAACAGCAATAGAATCAACTTCCAAAGACTATCTTTGGAAAGGAAAGAATACAAATACAATGCAATGCCAATAAATTAAGATTGATCTTTCAGAAATCCTTTATCAAGCAGTCTACTTCAATATATCCCTTGAACATTTTTATAAATGTTTAAATTAATTTTCTAAATGTATCCATAAAACTTGTTTGTCTACAACACAATGAGTTGCAACACTGAAACTACAAATAGTTATAGTTCTTTCTGTTGCATTCAGTAGGTTGCCAAACCTTCACATCTTGAAAAGGAAGAAAATGTAATGCAAATGTCTGAATGTCATCTTGTTTTGAGATAGTTGCCAATTTCTGTACATCAAAGAGCTATATATGGTAGAAGGTTATGAACCTATTTCCATGTTGGCTCAGGAATTCTGGAAGGTGAAATCCACATGTATGGTTTTCCATATCTTTCAGGAAGTCCAAATGTACAGTTTTCCATACATTTCATGGTAACTTCCCCCCACTTTACCTTTTATCACAAATAATTCATAAATGTGTGAATTATTAATGCTATTTATTTATATGGCCACTCAACTCTGGCATTGTGACTTAGGGTGGTGTACAATAGATAGGCATTAACAGGCAAAATACAGATCAGTAATCTTGTTTAGTTCCTACCTCAAAGTACATTCCTGGGCTGAAAGGAAAATGAGCAATAGATCTTTCTTCTTCTCCCCAGCTGTCGAACAGGTAAGAATTTCTCACAAAAACATTATCTTTTATTCGGGGATTCAAATGAAGAGCAATATCACTTGACTCACTGGACTTAAGGTTAATTGCAAAGCTGAAAATAAAAATGGCGACATCAGTTATGTAGCCTTAGGTCATTCTTCCTCCACCTTCGTGCCCTCTATCATGTTCAGCTCTGCGGCTCCCATTAGCCCTCCTTCCAGTTCGTTCTTGCCTTCACCCAGGATGGAATTGTATTTTCATCTCTTTCCTGCCAACATTACATTCCATGTCAATCTTCACTACCACATTGATATGGATATGACATGGATATTTAACCTAGTTTCAAGTTTTAAGCTTCAATCCTAATCTTGTTGAATAGATTGCCTCAGTGTTGGAGACACATAGCTTCAGAGCCTTGTTATGACAAAATTGCAGCCACCAATTTCAGCCCACAATTCAACTAGTTTATAGTAATCTTCCCGCCTCTGATTCAAAGTATAGAGTAGCAACAGACAGTTCTAGAGACCTCAGCCTGCCAGATAATATGCTGTTAGTTTCCATGTAAGCTGGTGGTATAATGACTTAGAACTATGCTCTAAGACATTACAGTATAAGACATTACAGTGAATACGTGTCTGCTTACAACAGTTGGCAGGTGGGAATTATGTAGAGCATGTTGAACAGATCATAGAAGGCTAGTATCTGTCAGGCCCACATATCTACACTAGACCAGAAAATCATTCCCAGGCGAGACTAGGAGTATTATTGAATCAATTAGTGGTGGGAAGGGAAGAAGCAAATTTATTAAAGGCTTTACATATCCAAAGTTAAGGATAACCAACCTGTTAAATATTGGGGGTCAGGCAAATACAACCAGTATGGAGAACAAGACCTTGACTGATACGGAGGAAATTTATAATTTGACAAAATGACTGCTGAAAAGGCTAATGGCCAGCATCAGGACTGTTGCTCTTTCATTTCAGCATCTCTAGTTCTTTCATCTCTGTATAAATTAAATTCGTGTAAAACCTCTCCAGATAAATAGATGTTTTTGGACATTCTCTAACATTACAAATCTGGAGTGATACTAAACTGCATAATTTTAGGTTAAAGACATACTATACATTTTAGGTTAAATACATACATGTAGGGATTAGTAGGGTTTCTTATGAACGCAGTAAGGTTTTTCTCTAGAAGTTTAGGAATGAATTACAAATGCCTCCATTGAAATAATAGCAGCATGTAAAATAATCAGTGTTACAAATAATGCAGTATTCCAATGCACTAACCCATTTGCTTTTTCTTTAACTTCTCCTTTGACAACAATTGTTCGTCCAGGCTCAACAGAATAATTAAGTTTTGCTGAATAAGGAATTACCTGAAAATATAATCAAGCCCAGAGTTACCTATGCCAAAAATTAATAAGCTGCAGTTTATATATATCATGTATCTGAGTTTTCTAGTACTTACATATCACTTGAGGCATATAATAATTAAAACAAAGACAAGGCAATAATAATTAAGGAAAAAATTAAAAAGCAAGTGATTATTCACAATTATTACTCATTTACACATTTATGGCACTTCACTTTCAGAAATGATCTGAACAAGCCTATTTTCTACTTGGCTGTGACACATTTTCTCTAAACACCGCTGAAGATGTCACCTAGCCTGGTAACGAAACGTTCAAAAACCAACCTACAAGCTCGTAGAACGAACCTTCACCCTCATCCTACACCTGAGCTACAGATATTTGCCACTATTGCAAACTCACTTGAATTTTTGAACAGCCAATTTTTTTTATCACTAGAAATTTTCTGTCTCTTGATCAGAGTGCTGAAAAAGTTTGAAAATCCGTGGTTTACATCTTAAAAGTACTGAAGGAACTAGCAGAGGCATTTGTAGAACTGTAATATTCAAGAATTAAAAGACTGGTAAATATCAGAAGGTTGATGGAGAGTAAGTGTTGTCCCCATCTTCAAAAAGAGGACAGGATACTATAGTCCTCTCAACTTGCAATCTGCAATAATCGGTTCAAGGATCGTGCCCAAGGGACAGCAGATCTGAATATTTGGATGGGAAAGCAACAATTTATCAAGAGTCTAACTGGGTCTATCATAAACAAATTAAATTTATCTCTTTTTCAACAAGAGGGGGGAAAACAATAGATATAATATACCCTGACTTCAATAAAGCACTACACAAATTCTCTTGTGATCCTCATTAATGAAATAGTAAAATGCAACTTAGATGTGCAATTGTTAGATAGTTTTGTAACTGGTCAAATGACCACACAAGAGAATATTCATAAATAATTCCACATTAGCTTGGAAAGTAGTATTGAGTAGAAGGCCAGAAGGCCCTATCTTGGGTCCTGTGCTATTCAACATTTTCATTAATGACCTAGGTGAAGGAAATTGAAGATTATCCAATACATAGATGTAAAAAAAAAACAATGAAGTGGTTTAGAGAAGATTCAAACGATCTTGACAGGCGTGGTTAGTAGACTGAAACACACAGGATAAAATTTAACAGAGAAATATGAATACCTGCACCTGAAAAAGGTAAGAGAAAGAAAAAAGGGAAAGGCCCAAGTCGACAATGGTCCTACTCTTTTTAGTCAGACAACATTTGGAACATTGTGTCCATTTCTGGGCACCACAGCTATAAAGCACATTAGCAAACAAGTCTTGGAATAAATTCAACGGAAGCCCTCAAAATGGTGAGGGAACTGAAAACCAAATCCTATCTGCAGGAATTAAAGGAACTGCATATGTTCAGCATACAGAAAGGAAGAGTAAGGGAAAATACGATAGCAGTCTATCTAAAAGACTGTTATATAAAGGAGGGAATAAATTTGTTCTCCATTGCCTTGTAAAGCAGGATCAGATCATTGAGTTGAAATTACAGGGAAATTGATTCAGGTTAGATGTTAGGAGGAAACGCCCAATAGTAAGAACTGTTAACTGGTGGTATAGGTTGCCTCAGTAAATGTTCTTTTAGTTGGAGCACTTCAAACAGAAACTGGAGAAACATCTGTCTCAGCTGCTTTAACAGACCCTTCACAAAGCAGATAACTAGATGATCTTTGAGGTCACAATTCTATGCATTAACTCCAAGGAACTCTAATGTGGCCATTGCAAATGACAATTGCAGAAAACTATCAAAAGAAACTGTCCTGAAGGACAATTTGAATGCAGCCATTGCTGTTTGCTAAATCAGCACTTTTTTTATTTATACAGCATGCAGAATGAGTTAGTCAGTAAACCATGGTTTAGCAGAATTTTGAACCCAGTCACTGAGTCTTGTCAGAGGGATGGCAAATCATAAATCAGCTATGCCCTAGTCCAGGGGTAGGCAACCTTGGCTCTTTTATGACACGTGGACTTCAACTCCCAGAATTCCTGAGCCAGCCGTGCTGAGGGGAAAGGAAGAGGTTTCCAAGCTGAGCCATGCTGGCTCAGGAATTCTGGGAGTTGAAGTTCACAAGTCATAAAAGAGCCAAGGTTGCCTACCCCTGCCCTAGTCCCTCCCGCGTGCATATAACTTTGTAATGAAAAAGTTTACATCAAGATAAAAAAAAGTTCATGCCCTTTTATGTTCATTTTCATTCTATAACATGTTCTAGCGGTTTGTATTTAGAAAGATACTTACAAACTGTGAGCTATTAGGTACATCTTCCTGTATAGAAAAAGAGAGAGTCTTACATGTAAAATAAGAGAACAGAATTGTACACCTAAAAATACATTTCCCATGTTTATGGATCCTTGAGAATCTTGATCAACATAAGATATATAATTAAATGCTGACATGAATTGTGATATCTGAACACAGGTAGTCCTTGTTCAGCAATCACAATTGGTTCCAGAGACTCGGTCGCTAAGCAAAGTGGTTGCTCGGTGAAAATCACAAGACCACAACTGTGCTTATGATTTCACTTCAGCTTTTCTTTCCTTTAAAGAGTCTAAAGGATACAATCCCTAACAACCAGGTAAGCCCAAGCAACAGGGAAGGTTTCCAGAGCTCAATTAATGAGGAAGCTGGATAAAAGACCAAATCTTAGCAATAATAATAATTAGAATAATTAACAAGAAGGAAATGTTTCTGATTGCATTCATTGGAAAGGAACAAATTCCAAGAGAATATAGCAGGCACACAGTGAGGAATTCAATGAAAGGAATCCACTAGTGACAGCTGTTTGCCTAGCCCACTTGTGATTGTGAGCTGCTTAGGAGGCAAACAAAAACCTTCAGTGTGAAACTTATTACAGCCCTCAACTTACAACAGTTTGTTTAGTGACCGTTCAAAGTTACAATGGCACTGAAAAAAGTGACTTATCACCGCTTTAAACACTTATGACCATTGCAGCATCCCACGGTCACGTGATCAAAATTCAGACACTCGGCAACTGATTCATATTTATGACGGTTGCAGTGTCCGGGGGGGGGGGGGTCATGTGATCGCCTTTGCCACTTTCTGACATGCAAAGTCAATGGGAAAACCAGATTCACTTAACAACCAACTTATCAACTGCAGTGATTCACTTAACAACTAGGGCAAGAAAAGTTGTAAAAAGGGGCAAAAGCTCACTTAACAAATGTCTCCATACAGCAACAGAAATTTTGGGCTCAATTGTGGTCATAAGTCGAGGATTACCTGTACTCTGTTCAATTGTATATAAAATATAAAATATGTTATATTTTAAAAATATTTACATATTTGCTTTTAATATCTTTTTTGTTTACAATATTCACATTTACAATATTAAAAATACAAAATGCAGAATGTTTCTTCTGCATTTCTTCATAAATGCTTTTACATGCTGTTGCTGTAATTTGATCTTTCACATCAAGATGGCTCCTTATATTGAATGTGTGGGCAAGTTGCATGTTCCAATTCATAATTCTATTTATAAAGTGAATGGTTCAATCCATTCCATTCACATCATGAATTTATACCGTGCATACCAACAGAATGTTATAAGAAATAGAATAAATATTTTATATTTTAGAGCAATGTCAAAGTAACAGACCATCTCTTGTAATAACTCACCTTGTTGGAAACAAATCCAATCAATGTAACTTTCACTTTTCCAGATATTGCAAGAGTGTCAATTTTTTCCAGATTGATCTTATGTTTATACAGCAACAAATGGTTTCTGTTAACGGACACCTGTAAAAAACAGCCAGCTAAAATATGAATATTTTATATGGAAGCACTGATAAAAATAGTTTAGATAGCAGATTATTTTTAAATTAATCAAACGCATCTTAGGGCATTTCATGAAAAGCAGCCTTTTATTTTTAACAGTAATTTAGCCATTGTTTAGCAAACTATGATTTAAAGATGAGATAAGCAACCTTTTGTTTGAAGGTTGTAATACATTTCTTCCGACCAACATGAAGTCCACAATAATAGTGCAGTTGGTTTGGCCAAACTTTTCAAATCTATCTTTTAGCATGACAGGATAATAGGAACAATTGATGACCATAAGGCTAATACAGCAAAACCTCTGACAGTGGAGGAAAAATAGACAATCCAACTCTTGAGGGGATTCCAACTTTTGGGGGAGGGTCCCTTTATGTCTCACTTGCCTTTGCAAGACTTGAAGCACCCATTTTCTGAAAATGTTTGTTATCTTTGAAAGGCTCTTGAGCTCACAGCTGGAAGGCTGAAGCCACATGCAGCCTGCTCATCCCTAGTGAATTAAGGATGTGCCTTTTCACTAATCCCTAGTGTTTAAAACCACCTCTAGTATATTAGGAGCAGCATTATTTAATACATCAACCAGTAGTGCAAG